TCCTCTAGTCTTGCAATAAATTCTTGTCTTCCTTTTGGACCCTAGTCTTCCATCATATAATTATTTTGCTTCAATACAAACTCACTCCAGTAAGAACTCTTGTGTTCTAACCAGTTTTGATCCCTTTAGGATTGCTGACCAAGAGATTCACACATAATGGCACGACACCGTACTTTGAACTTTAACGCAGGGGTAACACCCAAGCAGCACTAGCTCTGGCTTTTATTACCCAGTTTCTGACTTTGATTCCTCAGTTTCTTCCCCACCAGATAATAACCTTTGCTTTCGTTCCAAGTCTTTGATTGCCTGAGACTTCACAGATATCCCTGAAACTCAAAACTTATCATGGCTTCTCTTTTAGTGAATCAGAGACCACTGCAAATAATTGACCTTGCTGCATATACTGGTAATTTCTTCTTCATTTAACTTCTGAAATGGTTCAAACTTCTCGATATCCCCATCATGTAGTAAATGCCTGTCGAGCGTTTCCATGCTTTACACCTTGTATCACAAACCCTTTCATGAGACCTGCAATAATTCCTGCTCTGGAGAAGGTTGAATAAGCTCGAACAGAACACAAACCAGCCGTTGAAATCTCAATCCAACCGTTGAATGGCAAGAAAGTAGCATACAGACGATCTTCACAAAGTTTCAGCTCCATCGGGTGACTTTTGAATCCTCATATGTTGCTTTGAATAACCCATCTCAGAATTGATTCTGCAGCATTCCTTGTGTTATGTATCAGATCCAGAACATCTCCAAGCTTTGAACTAAGAGGAACATTGCTGAGCTCGAAAATCCCCATGATTAATTTTCACCTTTGCAATTAATTAAAACCAACTGCTCTTAGCGTTTTTGTATTTTCCGAACGAAAAAAGGATTTCGTTTTCTTCAGATTTCTTCAAGACTTGGACCACAAGAAACTCTAATCATCCATTTTGCATCTCTTCCACATTCCCTTAATTACTAGATGCAGTCTCTGATCTCTGTTCCTCATACATTCCATGGCAAGAGCTTGCTCAGACATCAACCCCAACTAATTTTTAGTGATGCTCAGTCCCTATTGAAAAACTGGAAAACTGATAATTTCAAAAAAATCAGCTCACGCCATAAATTAGAATATCTAGATCAAAAGCCTCCATCTTTATCATCTCTGCAGTTCTCAGTTAATTTTAGCAGATATTCAAAACAGCTTCTAGAGTCTATATGCATAAAAATCTCCATCTTTCTTGACCTCATCCTCCCATGCTTGAATATATAGCTAGGTTAAACAACTATCTCTGTTCCAGCTTAACAAAATCTTCTCTTTCTTAACATCACGACGAAATATGAGATAAGGTTCAAACGTAACATCTGCATTTTCTTATGAGATGTTTCCATCGTCGTTGATATGCTCTTCTTGCAGCCGCAAGCTTTGTCTCATACCAACTTCTTGAGATCATGTCTTCTTAACGTCAAACTTGACTGTTGTAGACCATCATCATATCGACCATTTATTCTGAACAAGGCATTTACTTTTCTGATGAATGAGCTCCATAGTGTCTTATCTTGAAATGGACTGAAGAACTCAGCAGCTTAATATGATGAACAAGTATCCATGGTCCCTTTCTGATAGCAACAGAGCTTATCTAGTAAAGCTCACTCTGCTTTCGAAAATCTGTTTATACAAAGCCATACCATCCCACCTGAATGTGCTCTGAAACCTCCTCAAATTAAATCATTTATGTCTCAGATCTTCTTTAAGCCAGGAAGATGACATATGTCACTTATTTGACTTGTAGAGCAGACCCCAATGTAGCCAGATCCCATCACATTATATTGCAAGAACTTTTCATCTCAGCGAGCATACTTGAGTTTTCTTCCATTCCATGAACTCGTCTCAAACATTTGCTCTCCTTACTAGACCCCTGCCTTTTTAATTTACAACATCCATAACCAGCTAAGTTATCCAGAATCAAAGCTAAAAACTTGAACCTGATCAATTTGCTTCAAACTCATATTTATAGCAAGTTACGGCAACTTTTCATAATCACAAGTTCTCTTTAAACCACTGGTGTCACCTCCATATCAGAAGAATCTTGATTATACTTTCATCCAATACTCTCAACATAAAAGTTTCAACGAGAACTTGTAGAAAACTGACAGACAGGAAAATCAAACCTCGACAAAACCCAAACATAATCGCACATCTCTGAATCTCTTCCCTCTCTAGCTGATTAAGGATTCCCTAGATAAGTCAGACTTATTATCAGCCTTCGTTGATTTAAGAACATCACGAACAAGCTACAACTTGGACGATATACTCTTATGAAGGATCCGCCTTAACAAAAGTCTTCATCTTCTACACAACCAACTTCAAGACTTTCCTTAAGAACATCACCAACACACATGTTGCTTGATCTCCAAGTTACACACTTGTAACCACCCAAAATCATTTTTTTTTGTTTTTCAACTTTCTACAGCTAGCCTTTTCTTGCTTGGAAAACCTTGTGTCACATAAAAAAATATTTTGATCAAAATACTAGCCCTTAAATCAGTAGCAGGACCTCAGCCAGTCTTTGAGAAGTCAGTAACATCTATCAATACACATCTGAAAACTTCTGCAGACAACACCTAGAGAACCCCATGATGCTTTAAACACATATCTCCTCACAGCCAGCTTCAATTGACAGATAATTCTCCTAAGATTTCATGAGTTCACAGTTTTTCTCAGATCCTCAAACCAACGTTTGTTATGACTCTCTCAAGAATATAGCACAATCATCTTTTCAACATCAAACTCTGAGCCTCAGTTGACTTTCATAAATGCAGACATAAACCTTAGAAATTAATATACGTCCTCGAGGCTTTTCTCGTCCATTAAGAGTCACAAGTGCAAGAGACTTCATCTTCTTCAAGAGAACTCATGAGTTAGTCAACCCAACAAACTCTAAACTTCTTTGCGTTATAGAAGGATATCAACCACAAAAGCAAACTCCTTCACTGATTGTCTGTATATTCTCGTAGACACTCTCTTCCTCATCTCTTATCACACATGTAGCCACAAATCCAAGATCTACCAAACTGAAAACTTACTGAATACTTAGATCACAATCTCAGTTCTGTTATGTCTTCTTCTCTGCCATGGGTCTAACTTCGATGACTCTTCTCATTAAGCACATATCTCGGAGAAATCAGAAATTCCAAACATTATTCTGCACGGACTAACGATTTACATGTTCTAGACTGAAATAAACATCCTTTCTTGATACTCAAGTAACACCATAAATCTTCACAAGACTCCATGTAGACTTTGTAGTTCCTTCACCATTAATTTAACAGAACAACTCTTCCACTCGTTTAATGCCCTTTGATCTAGAAGTACATCAAACTTCTTATGCTCATTTACTCTTCTCAGTTAAACACCTCCGGCTAACCGAACTCATTGTTTAGGGTTGTGAACACACAACTCTGTTCTCATCTATTCCAATTCTCCATACTAGCCAAAAATCCAGGATCGTACCCGTAATAAGACGAATCTCTATCGAGAACCCGCTCTGATACCAATTGTAAGTGCATATTTGCGGCTAAAGCTATGTGTTCAAGTGTATATAGAATATGTATGAGCATAAAGTAAAGAACACATAGAGATTTGTTAACGAGATTCGTTTCCTACATCCCCGGGACCACGTCCAGAAACCATTCACTAGAATAGGCCGCAACCTACAATTGCTATATGGTATCTAGCACACACTTGTGCCTACCACTCTTATCTAGATTACAATGGTTAAAGAAACTACTACTCATTGATTTTATGAAGAGCATAGTTCTCTATAACTAAACCACCAACAGATCTCACCATATATCTGGTGGGACGACGCCACACACCTGTGTGCCTCTCTCAAGAATACCCTGGGCGCGTACCTTTTTCTTTGACGGCCTCCTGGTATTTATATGATTGCTAAACCTTACACCTTAGGGTTTGTAAGCAATCTTTCCCTTTTCTTCTCTTAAGAATAAGGAAGTTCTCCCTCATCTTAAATATACCATTTAAGATGTTTTCTTAATCCAGTAGCCACGTCTTGGCTTGTATAAATCAACCCATGTTGTCCATTTATATATTTCTGCATTCGCCTCACAGCTTAACTTCTTAAATGATTTCTTGAATAACTTCTTGGACCACTTCATGTACTACTTCAGAGTAAAGCACATGAAACACAATAGACGTATGCTACATCTTCAAGACATGTTTCAGTACTTTCTCAAACCAGTCAGCATTACAACTTCAATATAGACATAACCTGCGTTTGATGAAAGCAGCCGTGATTAGGTTGTTGAACTTATTAGATTAAATGAGCTATTAGGCATATAAATATAAGTAGCCATCTGTGTGATTTTTCATTCTAAACAATAGGACTGAAATGTTGGACTCGCTATTTATTGAGACAGCAGTTTATATATAGACATAACCTGCGTTTGATGAAAGCAGCCGTGATTAGGTTGTTGAACTGATTATATTAAATGAACTATTAGGCATATAAATATAAGTAGCCATCTGTGTGATTTTTCATTCTAAACAATAGGACTGAATTGTTCGACTCTTTATTTACGTTTACATAATTATTTTGTTGGTACTTAATTAATCTGTCATGAACAGGAACACTCTGTCTTTGTTCTATGGCATCACTCGGGTCTTTGTGGACTCCGATGTCGAGCCTACCAGGGACTATCTAGGATGGTATGTATGTTTTTATTTTGATTTTTTTTTAATGTCTGTTTTCCCTACAATCCATGTAACTCGACGTTGACTAACTTATTGTTCCAACACTTTCACAGGTTAAGCTCTAATGCTGATATTGCTAATAAGATTGACGCTAAAATTGTTACTAAGCCTGAGAAGTTGAGTCTTGAGGAGATATTCGCCTATGTGAAACAGGAATCGGCCAAAGTACATGAGTGTTTCTGTTGCATATTTATTGAGGTACGCTTAAGTGTTTATGAGGTTTGCATTACTTTTCACAATGGACAGGTTGCTTGGTTTGAATGCATTGCTACCGTAGATGATGTTGGCCAGGGATTACCTTGGTATTACATCTCTTGTGATGGGTGTAATAGTAAGGCTGTAAAAGGACCCAACTCCCTGTTTTGTAACAATAACAAGTGTGAGATGCGACATGTCCCAGGCGTGCCTCAGTAAGTGCATGTCACTAAATTTGTTTCCCATTCTTGGCGCTAAACTTACCTGATTTTTTCACTGCAGATACCTCACTAAGATTTCTGTTTATGACAAAAGTGAGCACGCAGTATTCGTCGTACTTGGTGACGCTAGCAAAGTGTTGGCAGGGAAGCCTGCATCAGAATTAGTAGCTACTTATTTTGAGGTATTTCTGTAGATATTTACTCATAGCTTATATAATTTAAACTTGATATGTTCCACTTGAATTGTAGGCTAATGAGGATGCTGGACCTGACCATTGCGTTCCAGTCCCTCAAGCTCTGCTTGATGCAATAGGGAAGACTTTCAAGTTCATAGTGAAGATCTCTGATCATAATTTGACAGGCAAGATTCAGTCCATAACTGTCACAAAGATACTACCACCTGATGAGGCTACTGCTGAAACTGCTGATGGTATTTTAAAGACTGGAGATGAGACTGGTGAGGCTTCCGGAGGCAGTGAAAGTTCTACAGGTGATAATGTTAGGAAAGCTTCAGATGGCCTTGGATCATATGAAACAAAACGTCTGAAGATTGGCTAATACAATGGCTAACTATCCTTCCAAGCAGTGACTAACCTTGCTGCACTTTATTTATGTCTTTAACTTTTTGGTATTGACTTTGGTTTTTATTTTAATGAAATCTATAGAGTTTGCTCCATTCCATGCAACTTTGGTTTATTTGAAAACATTTATTTTTTTGGTATTTTTTGGCATTATCTTACTTATTAAGTTTTTTGAATCACCACAGCACTTATTGATTTAATAAAATTTTCTTATTGATAAAAAGAATGGAAAGTTAAAAATAATACATTTGTTTGTTGCATTTAATATCACTAAAATTTTGATATAAAGACTAAAATTTCCTCAGAAATAGTAAAGTAAAATATCACTAAAATTTTTGTTGATTCAAAACATAAAATTACTTCGTTTTCTTATTCATAAAAATAATCTAAGATCCAAACTAATACAAAATATTTCTTCTAACCCTTCATTTATAAAAAAAAAAAAAAAATCCCACCCCAAGAAAAAAGAATAAAAGAATAAAACCAATTTTCGTCTTACAGAAACACTTTTCCCATTTCTGTAAACTCTCTAAACCCCTCTAAATGTATAAACTTTTATAAAAATTAAAACTCTTTTTTTCTTAAAACGAAGAACTCACTCCAATACTCCAAGCCGACACGGTGTAAAGTGGCTGATCCAACCACCTTAACGTGACTCCCCCTCCATTTTTTCATCGCTCCTCTCCACATTAAAGAACTCCTCATCTCCATCTCCATAAATCCTAAGCAGCATCTTACTCTGCAATACCTCTCTCTCTAAAACTCCAAGACTCCGAAACCCGAACTGCTCCAACATCCTCCTCCAATGCCCAAAACCCACATGCCTCTCTTGCCGATGACTTCCTTCGCACGCCACAATGTTCCTGATCTCCCTCCCAAACAAAACCTCCTCAATCTTAACCCTCATCAATAGACCTCTATTGAAAAAAATTAATCGTAAATATGTTCATATATTTGCTTTAAAAAAATAATATATATATATATATGTACAGTAGACCTCTACAAAATATTTCATAATTTATGTCGATGTTTGTACCACAGTGGAAAGTAAATCCTTAGAACATTTTTTGATTACATTCCCTTCAAAAACAAAGCCTTTTATTTAGCTAAAAAGGAGAATTTGGTTTAACATAACCGTAGGTTTCGTAGCCAACGATCTTCTAAAATTGGTATCGGATCATTGAGAATTCAAGGTATATAGGTTTCTGATTGATTACCACCAAATCGTCCGTTAGATAAAAACTAAGTTTTACAAATATAACATTATTTATAAATTATGTATACAGTAAATATTACTGATCATTGTCTATTACGTACGTAACTAAGAGTTCCGATGATGAGGTCGAGGATGTTACTTCTTAGCATCCGGAATTCATGACAATTATTCCAAATTACAATGAACCTTATGTTTTACAGTTACATTTCCCGTCCATCCCATCACTCAGAGAATTCACCAGTTTGAAGAAGGATTTTCGGCGCGCCCTATAAGGGTATGTATAAGGAATATTTGGGACATCACGATTCACCAACCAAGTAACACCAAGAAGTGCATCGGCTTCATATGCTATGATTACCACGTAAGCAATATAATATAACTTTTCCATAAAATTATATATTCTCGATTTCGTCTAACAAATTTATTCACCTTTAGAGAGTACTACTGGAAGGTCGACTCTCCACCGACACCCACCCAACTGGTCCAAATTTGATAACCGAAGGAGATTCGTACAAATTATCAGGATTTTTCGTCAAACGAAATATCCGGGAAAGGAAACTAACACGGATCGGTATACCATTCGCCTCAACCAATGGTCAACAATTCTAAATGTTTCTCTCACCGATCCGATCGTTGCGGCACCCCATTTCTGTCCTAGGGATTACAAAACTCTACTCCGCTTATCCACTACCCTCAAATACTTACCAGGTAAAAAACACATAAAGCTTTCAGTAAAGACAAATAATATTCCTATTACCAACAATGCCAATATTTTCCAGATGTCGTCGGGGAGATACGACAAATGCAAAACATAAAACCACCCAGCCTAGGACCGATTGGATAAATCACAATTGCTCTAATGCTGGACGGTTTTAAAAAAGTTAGGATCGCCCTATGGGACAATCCAGTAAGAGAGTTTACCACCCTCCAAAGCAAGAAAAATAGGAAATACAAAATCGTCCTCATCACAAGCTTAATACCTAAACTCTATCAAGGTACAAGTCATTCTATAAATATAGAAATTCATGACTGTTCGTTCTAATCATGCCCAAAATAAATTTACAGGACAATTGGAACTCTCTTCATCGCCGGCAACCACTTTCTACTTCAACAAAATAATCAAACCCATCAAGAATTACAGAAGACTGATCGAAAGTCATCCACGCCCTTAAAAAAAAACACCAGTCAGCAATTGTTCTCTAAACTAAGTTTCAACTTATGTTTATTTTCAAATATTTACGATTCATTTGGAATTTTATTTCAGACATATGGCTTAGACAAAAAAACATATAGTGTCAATCGGTTTTTCAATTCTCATTCATACACACCTAGATTCTTGAATTATTTTAATATGCTTCCTGGAGAAAATAGAATTTTATGATTGGACTATCTTAATTAAGTACAACATCCTATGCGTATAAGGTATTCTACAATGTACTTATTACAAAACAAAATATACAAAATTACATGGACGTAGCCCGCGGGGATCGGTTCTAGTAGTATTAAAAACGATTATTATATAAATCTAAACTCAAATAGTATAAAATAGGTTATGGGCACACACTTTAAAACTAATTATAAATAAAAGTTGGGTAAGTGCATATAAAGGTTGGATACGGGTTTTAGACCGAATAGTTAAATTATCATCCAAATGATAATTTACATAACTAAAATTAATATCCAAATTATAACTGAAGATAATAATATAAAATAATAATTATATTAAAAAAATTGTTATTAAATTTGGATAATTTAGATTTTTTTTTTTTGAAAAAGTGGTAGTAGGTTAAACTGTTTAAGAGTTGATAAACAATTATAAATAAAAATGATCCAAACATGTTATTCAAATATTCTGAATAATTATCTGATCTTTTTGATCTAAACGGGTCATTTCTATTATTTTACCCATAAAGGAAATGGTCGGAATATCAGACCTAGGGCTAGTAGTTACTACTCGGATCGGCAAACACTAAACTCCTACAAACGTCAATGATATAAAACGTAAAGAAATATACACACAAAAAGTAGATATATAGCGTATACGTACTAATAAAAAAAGATGTATCGTGACCAACAAATACCAAAAAAATAGACTTGTTTTTATCTATAAATAACGCCCCCAAACCTCTCCCCATGAAATAACAACACTCATCGCTCCCAAAATACAACAACTTCTGTTTTTTTATTTCCGCTTCTTCAGATAATTTTTTATTTTCTTGTTTCTAAAGCATGTCGTTAGCTATCGCAGAGGTTTACACGGTGAGGGAGTTTCACAGGGAGAGTATGAAGAAACATGCCAAAACTGCCGTTACCGGCCAGGGAGATGAAAAGATCGTCGGAGGTGGGCTCCGGGAGGTCATGAATACGCCGGAGAAACAGAATTTGGCTACAAGATTCGGTCGGTGGTTCTTTGGAAAGCCAAAGAAAAGCTCGGCTAAAGTTTCGGATCCCATGACGATTGAGTGATAAAGAAGAAAAAACGTGTTATCTTTTTCTTTACTATTATTTTTCTTTCTTTCTTCATTTTGTTTTATTTTCATGTCTCTTTAATTTTATTGTGTGATTGAGATTTTATAAAATAGCAAGTAAACGTTGTAAAATCTGAACTTAAATACGAGCTAGACTATATAAATGTATTGAATGGAACTTTTCCAAAACTGTCCTGAATTTTCCTCAATATCATAGCTATTTGATGAGTTTAATGCCCAACCAAACTAAACATGTGAGCCAAAAATGTATTGAATGGAACTTTTAAATACGAGCTAGACTATATAAATGTATTGAATGGAACATTTCCAAAACTGTCCTGAATTTTCCTCAATACCATAGCTGGTTGATGAGTTTAATGCCCAACCAAACTAAACATGTGAGCCAAAAATGTAGTTCCCTTTTATTAGTGATAGTTGGTTCCGCAGTATGCACATAAATAGACTATTTCGAAGCTATGTTAGGATCACGCATTGTCATTTTCTTTTGAGAACTTTGTCATCTTTCTAAAGACACGCAAATATAAAGTGATTGAGGCTAGCACTTTTAAATGTTAAAGTAGTGGAATTCATGTGTTAAAAATTGAAAAAAAAGTAGTGGAACTTCAAAAGTATGGATAGTGAAAATAAAACTGAAAATATCTATGAGGGTTGATGCAACCCTGACCGAGCTAGCTGAATATCCAACAAAGGACAAACCCCGACTGAGCTAGCTGAACTAAAATCAGCTGGTGAGACTAAGGAAGAGCTGAAACAGAGTATGCACAAGCTGGAACCAGCTGTAGAAAGTGTTCATGAGCTGAAACCAGCTAAAGAGAGTGTGTATGAGCTGAAACCAGCTCAAGTTACTAAGGATGAGCTGAACCAGCTGAGTGACACTAACCTGGAGCTGGATGAGCTGAATGAGCTAAGTGACACTAAAGGAGGAGCTGGATTAGTTGCTGGACGAAATGGGATTTGTTCAGCTCAAGGAAAAATTCATAAAAAGTTCATTAAGGATCTGATTCATGCCAAATTCGACCAGCCCTTTCATCAGTCTTTTTCTGACCTTTTCCCATCAAGAATACCAAGGGAGAGTCAGCAAGAAAGTCCTGGTCGTGGGCATGCCAAGGGACATTCAAAGAAGAACTTAATTTTGGTCAAAAGTCAAGTCTTGCGTAGTTTTTATCTTAGTCTTCATTTCTGATTTCTATGTTCCTAGTTTTCTACATAATTTCTAGCTTTCCACATTCTTGTAAGACTATATATAGGCTATGCACGACCAGAATAAGATCATTCACTCTTTTTATCAAAAATCTTTCTAAGTTGTGAATCCCTTGTTCATCTTTGAACATTGATCTGCTACAGAGTTCATTCTCTAACAGCAATTTTGTTTGTGATCCGCGAAAGAGTTCATTCTCTGGATCATATACACATCGAACAAGTTGTGATCTCTCCATTGATCTACAATTGAAGAATCCCCTTCCATCTCTAATAGCACCCACGGATCCATCCCCTTTGTTCATCAAACATCATTCTTCCATAAATAAAGCGACCAGTCCATCTATCAAACCAGTGATCATCCTTCAAGATTCAGGGGCAAAAGAATCCGATCCTATCCAGGATTCTATCAAGGGTGATTGGTAGAGGGATTCTGCTAGCTGTGATTGGTCACAATGTTATGGCTCTCGACATAAAAACAGCTAAAACAGTTAGTTATAAGAAAATTTTGCAGCTTTTCTAGATGTCACATCATTTGCAGCTACATTTTTAGTTGTTCTTGAAATTTCATTTTCTCTTTTCTGTTGCATGAGCCTTTTATTAGTTTTTCATTTTAAAAAATATTTAAGCCACTCATAAAAGAAAAAGTAATACTTTAACTTTAAGCAAACGACGGAAAATGTTTTGTCTATTTAAACATTTGTAAGTAAAGAAAGCGAAACAATATAAGAGAAAGTAAAAGAAAAAGTACACGACAACAATATTACCTTAGATATTCTCTTGTAACAATTTTGATTTGAATATAAATCTTTTGGGATAGTGTTATATTCGCAGGGACTTTTTTGCAGCTTGGGAAGCTGATTCTTATCTCCTCCAACTCCCCACCAGGGACTTTGCAACTTGGGTAGTCTGTTCTCTTTCTTCTAAACAAAACAAATAAGTACACAACATCTATACTTCTAAACATTTACAAGTATAATAACAGTCTGAAACAATATAAATGTTGCTAAAGGCTGACATTCTTGTGATCTAATATACATAAGAAAACTTGATTCATATACGTTGAAGTTTACATCAATGGATAAGATCGAAGCATGTGAAAAATCACCTACTCAATACTACGACAGGTTGTTTTCAAAGAAAAATTCTGTCCTTGGTTTTGGGGTTTGAGAGCGAAATGATTAACGAGAACAGAGAAAGAGTAAGAGTTCGACGGAGGAATTCGAGTCAGAAAGGTAAACGACTGTAATATTTTATATCTTAATCTAGTTCTAGATGTTTATGAGAAATAAACTCTAGATGTAGTGAAGTTAGAATCATAATTGATCTTCTTGTTTGTGATACTACAGATTTATGGAAAAAAAAATCAAACTCCGAGTTGCATTGGAGAAGATAAAATGATCTTTATGTTGTATGTTATATTCTCTATCTCGAATTCTCGATTTTGTAACAAATAGATTATTAGACTTCATGGTAATATAGACAAGTTGTATGTCATCAATATGAACAGATTAGTCTAGAGTTTCCTTAGGACAAAACTTTGGATCAATGCAACACACAATTTCTCCTCAAACAACCAATATATAGCTGTTTATAGATAGCACACTTCGTGTTTTCGTTATTTCAATGTTATTATTAATAGTACTAGATCCATTTTAAGAAACACTAGGTCATTTTTCCGTGCTACGCACGGATAATTATCTATTAAATTTTATTATTAATTTTCCTGAGTTAATATAAATACTGTATAATTTTCATATATATATATATACTATGTAGTTTTTATTATATAATATAAGAGGGGAGAGATACTCTATTTATGGTGTTTGAATGTTGAGTGTATTTTTCCGCATTTTTGTAACAAAAATTTATAAGTTTGATAAAATACCAAAAATGAATTTAGAATATATAGATAGTTCAGATAATGTGAGGAAGTTGTTTACATATATATGAGTTAGAGTAAATTCGCGTAGTCGATGATGAGGCGAGAAATAGCTTCCCTATAAATAAGAGTTATTAATCAGTATGTATTATATTTTAAAGTTTGTATTTGTTTTGACCTTTGTATATTTTAAGATAAAGATTATTACCATAACAATTTTATATTTGCGATTTAGTTATGCTTTGCATCTTCCTGAACAGAGATGTTTGGTTGTCTAATAGTGTAAGCTTAACAACTATCAATCTGTTGAATCATTTATAAAATATTGACATAAGTTACATAATATTTAATGACAATATATTTTAAAGCTAATGTCTTGCTTGTTTTTATTATAAATTATATTTAAATTAATTATGATTTAGTATTCAGTAAATTAATTATTATTTTAAAAATATCATTATTAAAATTTTAAAATATGTTCAAGATATGTTTATAAATGTGTTTATATTGTGGAAAATGAATATATTATTTATAAAACTAAAATCATACCTGCTAAATATTATAAAGATTGGTTGTTCCATATAATCTGCTAGTATACTATTGTGATTACTTTTTATTATAAATTTAGCTATTTTTATTTTAGCGATTTTAGTGATAAATCAAATTAAAAATTAATTACTGCTATCAAGGACAGTAAAATAGATTTTTTTATCGAAAGATCACACAGAAAAAAAATGACTAAAATATGTTTTATTAAAAAGGTAAAAGATATTTTATCATAGTTTTATAGATATATAAATATATATAATTTTTTAAAAAATAATAAATTTATTACTTTGAATAATATATTTTTGAATTCAATCTTTATTATTTTTTATTTATTTTTATTCTTGAAAATCATAAATTCGACCCTTATCTCAACACCACTTATCAAATCTAAACTCTAATTCTATATTAGTTGATCTATATGTATAAATTTCTATTTATCTTTTTAACATAATATTTTTGATTATTTTTACCTTTTGTATGTTATATTTATGATAAAACTCTTTTTCAATGTCATCATAGAGATTTTTCTTATAAAATTATGAAAATCATTATCTAGTTTGATTTGTTCTTGACGACCATAATTTTTTTCTAGAAGACTATATCGACCTAAATTTTTGTCTATCAAGCGTCTTTGATTAGTTTTCATAACGGGTTGGATTTATTATTTGACTAAATTCATGTTGTCAAAAAAAAAATGTTATAATAGTAACTAAAATTTTAATGGTGATGAGTAAATAAGTTTGTTAATTCCTTTTCATTGATCAAAAGCAAAAATTATATACCAAAAGTTAAAAGTTTATCTACCAAAAAATTATATTCAGTTTTAAAATATCAAAATATATTATTGCATGCCAAAAATATAAAAAAAAATTATATTAGATTGATAATTAAAATTATTTTTATCCGCAAATTTACGGACAACCACCTAATTATATATATTTAACCAATTATATGTATAATTGTTATTTGAGAAGAGGCTAACTGCACTGAAGCAATTAAGAAATCTATGTAAGCCTTAGAAAATTGTTGTATCCATAAAATGAGATTATAATTGATTTACTAACCACAACGATCAAGAAGAAAAGAAGCCGTTTATATTTTTTTCCCTCACTGCAATTTCCCTACATTTAGATTAAGACCAAAAGTAAATACAAAGACATTTCACCATAAAATTGTTTTAGCCTTGATTGCAACTATTATGCTCGTGTTTATGATGCCTATGATAAAACATATTACTTTGGTATTGTTTTTTTTTTTTCTAAGACGTTAAAATGAGGAAGAACTTCAAAGCTTATGCATTTGACAAAACACATACCAACGTTCATACACATAAGAACAGTTCAGCACAA